ATGAAAATGAATTTTTGTTTAATTGTTAGTCTAATCATCAAAACTAAAGTGAATTTACGATTTCTTTTCTGTCACTCATTTATCGATCACTTCTCCAAACAAACCTATTATTGATTTTTTCATTCAATTTTCGTAATAAAAAAGTTTTTTAAAAATTATTTATACTTTTATTTCACACATTATTATTATTTTGCTTATTATTTCATTTGTTTGTATTAATGGTCAACAAATTATATAAACCAATCATTTGTCAGTATTTTAGTCATATTTAGAGTTGATTTAACACTACATTGAAAGTGACTTTTATTTTTGAATAGTGTTTTCAATCTGAATATGTGTTATATTAGCAAACTTTTGTACACTTACTGTTTGATGTGATTTGTCGGTAGAGTTGCATCAAATCCCAAAGTGTTTGAAAAAAGTGTTTTAAATCATTGTGTGATTGACTGCCATATCATTTGCTATCGAGACCTTTCTTTGACGACCACTTTGTTTGCCACTTCTGTTGTATGATTTGAATCATGTCTTCTCCAGTGATGCCAGTGTTATCTCAAGTGTCTGACGGCCACAGCTTTTACGGCAAGTTTCTGAACAACGAGTCGTTCAGCGATTTGACGATCACTTGCGGCGATCAGCGGTTCGCTGCCCACAAAGTGATCATCGGATCCAAAAGCGATGTCTTGTGGCGTATGTTTGTGGAGAAGCCTTTGTTTGTCGAGTTGGAGATTGTCAACACTGTTCCCGAAGCCTTACGAGTGATGTTGGTCTACATCTACACCAATGAGATCTGTTTGGACGACGATCTCGTGCAGACATTGGTGGGAGTGGTGGCGCTCTCCAAGAGGTACGCCATTCACGAACTCTTCGCCGTATCGTTGGACCGATTGGAGACATTGTTGGCCACAACTGATGTCGTATTGGCGCCCAAAGACTTGATATCCACTTACGATATGGCCGTCAGATACGAACTGAAGCGAGTCGTCCAACTGATGGCAGAATACGGTCTGCGGAAGAGGACAGAAATCATCGGTTCGTTCTTAAATTGGAGTCCAACCGAAGAGATCCGCAAACTATTGGAAATCATTGGCTGCACTCAATCGGATGTGATTGAAATGATTGCGAATCAAAATCTCCTGAAGAATGGCATTAAAGATGAAGAGTTTAAAGCATTGGTTGATTTGGAGAAGTGTTCAATCAATGAAATCATTCAATTGATGAAAACTTCTCTCTTCGAGAATCAATGTCTGATTGAATGGCTTGAAAGCAAGTATAACGCCTACAAACAGTCAATGGATCAGTTGGTGGACAAGACTCGACTTCTCTTTAATGATCCCAATCTTGTTTCTTAAATTACTTTATTATTATTTCAAATTAAAATTCTCTCAAATAATTGTTTTAAATTTATATTTAAAAGTGTCTGAAATGACCATTACTTTGAATTTCATGTTAATTTAAACCATTTCTTTTGATTTTAATGCTTTAATTGTGTTTTAATTACAGATTTTAGTTGATTTACTGTATTATTTGTTTCTAATTATTCGGAATATTATGAGTGTTTAGTTCTTATTATAACTTTGTGTTAAAATACTATAAATTTTATATAATTTAATAGTTTTGTATTTCAATTATTGTATTCTTTGTTTAATCTTAAGGTTAATTATAATATTGAATAATTTGTTGATCATATCATTTGTATTCTTACCAATATTTCATTGAAAATAAACAAAATTTAAGCGTATTTGTGATGAAAGGGTTTTTATTGAAGTTATTTTCAGCAATTTTCTACATTTAATCTATTGGTTACAAAAATATTTATTTATATAACAGTGAATTTAATTACAAAGTGTGTGCTATCCATATGTTCTGGTATTGAAACTTAACAGACATATAAGTTAATTGTCAATTATTGTTAATGATTTAAGAAAATATAAATAAATATTAAAAATATTACAACAAATATATAAAACATATACCGGTAAATTTTATATTTAATAATCACATCATGTGATGGTAAACACATTCAAACCAACAGCAGATTGTTATACAAATGACCAAAAATATTAACATAGAATTCAGTATAATATTCTGCCACAAAGTTTTGTAATTAGTTTTATGATAATTTTTAGCTATAATCAAGTCGTCTGAGAGATTGCTTTGAGTTTCGCTTAAATTAAAATTCTTAATGAAATAAGAGATGAATAAAATAAACCAAATAATAGCGGCGATTGTGTTATACCAGCGAAAAATAGTGAACACTATCGATGACATACATATTTGTTGAGGTATTGTATAAAAGTTATAAAAGTAATCATTGATATCAAAATGAGAAGTCCAGGGAAAGACATACACTTCCAGTGGAAAGTATGCCATACTATGCAGACACTGAACCAAATACTTATATGATCTGGATAAAAATATATTTAAAAATGGTTTTATTAATTTTGTTAAAACAATATAAAAATTGTAAGAATTATTACATCAATAGTTCTCAATATACTAATAGTTGTTATACCTGTTGTCATAAAAGGATGAGATGGACGTAAACGTTAATATTATGTAAAACATACCAAAAAGTAATTTGTTTGAAGAACTAAACTATAAATAAATAGCAAAAGAGAAAGAATGGATTCAATTTGTTATGTAAGACAATATAGTTGTATGAATTCTCTGACCACTTGCGAGTGATTTGCAAAGAGATAGAATCCAATGAGAGTTATAACACATGTGAATGTAGTGTAAGCCACTTGCCATAGAGGTAACTCTAATCGTGGTAATTCTTCTTCTATTGTATCTGGTATTTCATGTTTGAAGCCGAGTCGAGGAGCCCCTGGTCTCCATCCCGGCCCTCATTCGTTAAGTTTATTAAAAGTTATTATTAAAATACGATTAATTAATTTTGATTGTCAATGTATTTACCGGCAAATATGGCCAACAATTTATGCTTAATTTTATTTGATTTATTTATTTTACGATTAATTAAAGTGTAATAATAGATTTGTTGGTGTATTATATTATGTCCCCTAACTCTAGTAGTGATTCCATAGACAGGCGTCTCTTTCTCTTCGGCATAAGTGCCAAAAAGTCGATCAAATATTATGAGATAAGCGCCAAAATTCTTATCGATATAAGACCTGTTTCTCGCTGTGAGATCAGTAAGACATCAGTTAATTACAACGATCGATGAGTTTATCAATAGGGGTTGAGAGAGAGAGAGAGAGAGAGAGAGACAATACACTCAATGTAGTGTTAAATCAACTCTAAATATGACTAAAATACTGACAAATGATTGGTTTATATAATTTGTTGACCATTAATACAAACAAATGAAATAATAAGCAAAATAAAGAGAGAGAGAGAGAGAGGGAGAGAGAGAGAGAGAGAGAGAATAGTGTTATTAGTCTGGAGACTGAAAATGATATCAATTCATACCGTGATGTACTCTATGATGACTGGGAGTATTGAAGATATACTCGAGAAATCCCAGTTTGGGAACAGTGTCGGTGTGGAGCCACGCCTGGTATAGAAACATGTATTGCATGTGTGTTATCATAATTGGCGGCGGAATCGCAATCGCCAGAAGTGATGTGTAATACTGTTTGCAATTTAATTGAATCACAGTTTCGGTGGAAAAGCATAAAATAAAATAAGACTTTTTTAGAGAAATATTTTCGTTATAGTGGTTAAGAGTACACTTTTTTCCACTTAAGCTTTGATTTCATTCAATACCTCTCTATCTCTTAATTTAATTTATTCTCAGTTTTTTTTTTGGTAATAGAAGTGATTTTTTGAAAACAAAAAACAACAAAATAGACCACAAATTGATTTTTTGGCATTAGGTTTAAATGAAGTCAAACAAAATACTTTTAAAACTAAATTTTGCTTAAAAATTGAATTTACTTTTAGTACCCGTAATATAAATAATTTGATTTAAGTCTAGTCTAAAATTTTGTTCATACAGTATAATAATAAATACAACATTTAATAAATGTAATGCAATACTTACATAGATTATATTTAACTCAAACCAAGAAAGTCTAACAGCGGTTCCGATATTAAAGTGTTTAGAGCTGTGATGATACTGATGACTGGCCCACAAGAAATTCACTTCATGTAAGAGTCTGTGCGCGCAATAAAACATCATTTCCATCAATAGTAAGGATATGAACCAAACTCTCCAATCGTTCGGAAGGCTTATTATCCGATAATTTTCGTATATGTATTCAAACACATAAAGCATTGCCGAGTATTGAAAATATCTGACAGAATATTCATTCATTTATTTATTCAAATATAAAAAATTATTAGTGAAATACCTAAATATAAATGCAAACATTAGGGCTCCGGAATGCATAATAACCTCATTGTAATGAATTGGTGTCCGTTTCTGCAAATATCTAATAACCAATTCTATGGCCAATAGATATATCAAGTGAGGCCAGGCCTGTAAACATAATCAACATTTAATTTTTTTTATTAATCTATTGAGTTGTTTCCAAAATTTATAATTATATTTTACTAATTAATTCAAAAAATTTTGCGATTCAATTAAAATGTTAATAATATTCTTATTAAGAATATGTCAAACCATATAAGTATCCAAAAGTTATTCTCCATTATCTGTATAAATAAAGTTATAAATCCTTTCGGAATACAAATCAGAAATTGCAGTGAATATTATACAGAATTTATAACATAAATATAATGCAAAATTGATCAAAAATATGTATATTTTGAGACTTACTCTATGCATGAAATTAGGGACGCGATGCACATCCTTATAGATGGTCGGACTGACCAAATACAACATAACGCCTGTCCTCTCGAGCATATCATATGCAAAATCAATACTATTTGACACATTCATTATGTGCTCTCACTTTTCATCACCAATTCATACCACAAATTCTCTTCAAAAACATTTTCTGTACGAAAAGCAAAATTCAAAATTTCAGACTAAACTAAATGCTTGATTCTCTAATTTGATAGCAAAAAGAGTATTTCACCCAAAAATTTAGGCCAAAATTGCATTATTTTCTTAATGTGTTCTCCTATTTGTGCTCTCATTCAATAACGAAAGTAAAATGATTTTACTTTTAAACTAACAAAATATTAACTTTGACCCAACTTTCTCTCATTTGTTAGATAACTTTTTTTTATGTGTATTTTATTTTCCATAATTTAAAGATTATTTGTTAGAATAATAATATTCTTAAATTAACACTAATTCTATCATTAAATAATATAATTAAATGTTTATAATTTTAATAACAATTATTTATTTTCTAAAAATGTTAATCAAATCACATTATAGTAAAATTATTTTTAAATTTAGTGTAATATTTCATCGAAGTTAAGAAATAATTCAATAAAATAAAAGATTATTGAATTTTGAAAAATAAAATGTTAATAACATTAAATCGATAGTATATTATGCGATATCAAAGTTAAATCAAAATCAGGCAAAAATATAATGCATAAAAATATTATCACTATCTAATCATTGCAAACAAAATTAAAGTCATATGCAGTATAAAATAGTTGTGCAATAATTGCACACAACATAGACATGAATATAATAAATGAGAATTGGATTGAAGTTGAGTTTATAATTGAATTAGTTATTCAAAATCTGGTCGATTTCGATGGCAGTCATCTGCGGCAGTAAATCATTGTTGAAATGGTTAGTATTGTGAGCATCTGTGTTACCATTATTGCTATAATCAAACTCCTGATGCAATACAGCGCTGGATCTCATTAGAGAGATATCATGGGCTGAATAATTGAGTCCAACATCACTGCTATTAATTGGATGTAATTCTTGGAAAGTTCGCACTTCTCTATCCATATCCATATTAGTTGTCATTTCGTTCATATCATTACTGTTTATGGGCTGTAATGTCAATGAATTCTCTTCGTTTACAGATAGCAATGAATCAAATCGTAATATTTGCATATTTTTCGTCGATTTCGGCAATGAATTCTCGCTCTCGTATTCATTAGTATTATAGTTAACACAACCATAACTGCAATCATCACTCGCTATACCACTGCCTGACGAGTCATTTGAGCTAAATTTTTCATTTTTCACACTATTATCGTTTTTATCGATATTATGATTACTATTATTATTGCAATTATTATTATTGAGGTCTAAACTGTTAGGCAATGGATTTGAGTTTAAATTTTGGTCATTATTTTTGAGCAGTTGTCGCATAACTTTCATTATATCGAATGGCAGTGAAAGGCGTTTGCAGTCCATTTTGGTCTCAATCACTTTGATATGTGTGAACCACATCTTGAAGTTAAACTCAGATTTTCGTAAATGCGTTAAAACACTACCATTTGGCGACTTCTCCAGACACTCGCACCGAGAGTTAGTCAAATCTGAACGCATTAAACACAATAGTCTATACTTTTTTCGCAATAAGTTGTGAGTGTTTCGCAAATTCTCGATCTCATTGTCTCTACATTTGGCCACTTCTTCATCACTCGATGAAGCGATCGATGAATTGGATTCTTAAAGACAAAGAATTTAAACAATAATTTTGATTGAACTCCACTTTTACGAGAAATTGATGTTAAAAAATGCTATTGAAATATCGATTAGAAAACAAACACGTTTTGCTTACCATTAGAGCTATGAATGAGTGTTTGATATGATTTGTGTGACAACTGATTGGAGATGAAGTCAATCTGTGAACGAATCACTTTTGCCAAATCCATGTCTTTTGCAGAACACGTACACAAATCGATGATTATTTGAAGACAATTGTTTGCGTTAATGTATTCAGAATTTGCATTCTTGAGACTCCAAACCAATACCTCGGAGTCCGTAATCTTAGGCTTGGATTCGTCGGCACAGATATGCTGTTGTAAATGCATTTCTTAATGTGAATGACAACTATTTTACTCTTGAGCTGACTTTGAAAACAAATTTATAAACTTTTCTTTGAAAATTTGTTTTTCTTATTCACTGTTAAAAATAGATTTAATATTTATGTATTTCTTAACCTCTTGTTTATGAGAAAGAAATCTAATTATTAGCGAATCGATTGAAATATTTTTTTGTGTGGTTATCACATGTAAACTATTTATTTGCCTCGAAATTAGTTAAACATATGTAAGAGGTTTTCCTTATTCTGTGGTAAAGTTTTTTCACATTTTGTTTGTTTGATTGAGTTATGCCTTTGAGTGAAAAATCAGAGCTCATTATCTATTCATGAATTCTTATTTTGTTTATTCATTAAACATATTCATAGCCAGTAATGAACACACTATTCGTTGAGAAAATTATCCCTATATTTAATAAGTGTCGACAAAATTTCCATAATTATCGTTAGGGTTTGTGTTTGTGCTGACGATTCCTTTCATACACATCTCGTGTCACACAAACACAACACATGTACACAAACTTAAGACTTGTATTTAACTTTCATTTCATCGCCAATTCAAAGCCAATGATGTGTTTCCTTTGAAAATTGCAATTTGTTTTTCTACAAATTTATCTCAATCTTTAATTACGTGTTTCTCTTTGAAACATAATTATTTTATTTGCCATTTAATTGAATTTTTGTTAAGCAATAATGCATTTTAATATTTGGTTATAATAGTCATAATTAAAAATACAAAATAATTTTATAGTGAAAGTTAATAAATAAGAATAATTTTGAAATTAAAATTAATTATATTTAAGAAAATACATTTTAATTAATTAAATAAAAAAATGTTTGCAGTAAAAGTGCATTTAGACGATTACATTGTCTTTGAGATCATTTTTCATTTGATCGTTATTTGAATTCATAGGCATTTGTTCGTCATTTTGTTTGGAAACTCCATTTCCCACTCCATTGACAACATTTGCAATTGAATTAATGATGGACTGCTCTAAACCAAGTTTAGATTTAATTAAACTTAGATCTAGATTGATTTTACTATTTATAAGTCTGGCGTCCGAACTGATCTTCTGCTTCAACAGATCCATCTTTAACTGTTCCATACCTATGATAGCGTTCGCCAACTTTCCGATTGGATCAGATACTGAGGGAGTGTTTGGGGCCGACGGTTGGGAATGCGATGGTTGGCCACATTGTCTGCAGGAACAGGTCGGACACGAATTGGGAATAGTGTTGCCATTAATGCTATTCTTGTTTAATAAACTTAAAACCACTGAAAGAAGTATTTTATTCATTTCGTCAGCGGTTGACGAACCGAATGGAGTGGGAGTTGTGGTCGTTGTATGTATTACGGGAATTATCGGTTGATTTTGACCACTGTTTTGGTTTGGTATACAAGTAATGGATCCGCTGTTTAACATATTCCGGAGCTTCTCTGGCGTGAGTCCAACAGTACTGATGATCTCGTTATTAATAACGATTGCTGTGTTTCCATGTATGAGTGCCGGCACGTAATCAGACTGACAGATGCCATCAAATGGTGATCTTTGTGGACATTTGCCGCTTATTATGTCTTCTAAATTACATCTGAGACTCAAATTGTAATGAATTTCATTATAATTATCTCCACTTAAAGCAAAGTATCGATTAGTTTCCGACTCAATGTAATTCTCAATTAAATTTGAAGCATTTGCCAAACTTTGGCTAATATTTAGCATCATTTCTGGCGTATCTATGGTTTCATTTGATTGAATGTCAACTCTTGTAGTTATCACTTGACTTATGATATTACTTACGAGTATTAATAAAATCATTAAATCACACATTTTTCTCTTATTTTTGTTTGCGATCTAAATATTTGAAAAGCAAATGATCACCAAAATGCTCATCAAATGGAAAGTGTGTTTTAAAAAGTATTGTAAACTAATAGTAAACACATATGAAGTGAACGTAAAACTCAAATAAGAGGGTAATTATAACATGAATTTAAATCGGATTTCATATACGAGGCGCTCATTTGCATAATTATTGAGCACTTATGTGGGCCTTCAGGAACACCATTAGATAAATGACTGGAATATAAGCTAACATTTAATTTAATGATTATTGCCCTCCGAATAATCAATTGAACAAATGTTTGCCAAAATTATTGTCACTCATTGGCAGACGCTATGGAGAAATAAAATTACTGTTAAAAAGACTAATGATTTAATTGCAACTAATTTTAGGCGAAGACAAGAAGAAGAAGAGATGAAATGTAATTTGCGCTCAAGACGTTAATTCCTGTGTTGAGTACAATCCTTAACATCCAAATCATTACTTTGTTTGCACTAATTTTTTATCGCCAACTTTTTTGGTTCAAATAAAACGCTAATTCAATTGAGTGGCAAATCTAGAGACAAAACCAGTGTTTTTACGATAAAACTTTTGTATTTTATTTGTTATCAAAATCTTTAAGTATATATTTATATATATCAATGAGATCTCAAACATTTCTCTCATTCGCTATAAATTATGAATTTTTTTTATTATTTAATACAATTAATAAATTATAATAAAACTTATCAAAAAACTTTTTTGTTTTTCATTCATTCAATTACCAGAATTTAGTGTACATTTTATATATATAATAACGACAGTATTAATACAATTTTTAGTATCAATTCATAATCAATTAACTTCTTTACAATAATTATATAATAAATGACTATTTAGTGAATAATATCTCTCAAAATTCGTTCGTTTAAACACTTAAATAATCGAAAACTTTTTCTTTACATTTAATAATCATAATTAAAGATCAATTTCTTGTCGTTTGCATACAATCCTGTAATTAAATATCAGACCATTTTTTGCATTCATATTGAGTAACAAAATATTTTGTGTTTTGTTTGACTTATTATTTATACAAAAAAAATTGAAACCAAAAAAGGCATTCATCCGAACGATGAAAATATATATAAATTGAGACAAACTTTGATTTATAGACAAAAACTTTTTTCTATTTTCTTGATTTGTGATAAAAAATTGTCTGAAAACTGAAAAATTATATTTTCATTTCATATGCGGTTTTTGTATTTTGCTTTTTTAGTAGAAAATCAAACAATTCTGACCAAAGATTTTATTATTTTTCTTTCGTTTCTCTGATATACTTATTGTCAATCAATAATTCACAATAACTTAATGTATTTTTCTGACAATTACTCTCCGATTTGTTGTAAACTTTTCATTAACTATTTTCTTTTTGTTTTGATAATTGGGTTTCATTTTAATAATTAAATTTACAAAAAATAACATTTCCTTAAACTTATACATAATCTAAACAACAATTTCTTTGTGATTCAATCAGTAAATAATAAAAACATCGTTTCATATCTATTTGTGTTAAACATTTTGATTTCACAGAAAGTAAAACTTTTCAAAAAATTGAATACAAATTGTAAAATACAAAGAAAATGTAAAAACATTTATATATTATATAAGATTTTATGTATAAAAAAGAAAGAAAGCATTAAATTAATCAAAAATGTCTCGATTTTTGATGAATGAATTCAATTATAAAATTTAATGAATTTACAGCAAAGGAACGAACAGTGATCTGAAGAAGTGGTAGACAACCGGTTCTTCTTGTCGTCGTTGCTATTAATGTCACACTTTTTGTTCCTCATCTTAACGGGTGTTCCGCCGATACTCTCATTAATGGTGGACCCGATGTCGAGCCGTCGGGCGGCCACCAGTTCCCGGTCGGAGTCGTCGTCATGAATGGTACTCTCGTAGCCACTACTGGCGGGTTGTCTTTGAACGATCGGGTGATGACTCATAAAACTGGGCGAAGACACGGACGACGTCTTTTTGGCCACCGAAGAGCACTCGCCCTCCGAAGTGGTTCCGTGGCCTGAAGTGGTCGTCGATGTGGTGTTGCGTTTCAATTGCTGCTCAATTTTCTGCTGCTTCCGACTCACCGAAGACTTGGCTGGACTGCTGTGAACCGACTGCACGGTTGTGCCCAACAGACGGTTCACTCGCGGAGATGTCGGCAAAACGGCGTGATTTGGCGATGAGGTTAGGAATAAGGGCTCATTTGGCGTTGAGATCGGCGGCGGAGATGTGGCCGACAGCGGTCTCGATGTGACAGTTGTCGGCGAATTGACCGCTTCTTTGGGCAAATAGGAGAACATTGTATAGTCGGTGAACTCAGGTCTCGGCAAATCCCAGTGACTAATACTGAGATTCTTATTACTGGCGCCGTCCGGGTGTCTGAGTGTGCGGTACTCCAAGTCCTTTCGGTGACACGAGTCCCGGTGTGTGTGAATGCGAGGCATTGTTATTGTAGTCAACTGTTGCAGAAACTGTTCCAGTTTTAGCTGTTTTGGCGGTTCGGTTATGGGTTCGCTGTGACAGTCGTCCATGTCTTCAGCCGATCCGCTATTATTATCACAGCACTCGCTCATAGCCTCGCGTCCGGCGCCGGCTATCCTCTCAATGCCCAGAATCTCGTCGTCACTCAATATTCTGAGCGGATCTTCAAAATTAAACTCGCATTCAGACGGCGTGACCGTCGATGCGCTGGTCGTCAGCTCTGTCTGACAGCTAACGTCTGTCGTCTCCGTCAACAGAATCTTCTGCCGAATCTGTTTCACTGTTGAACAGTAGGCGCTGTCCGGCGTCTGTGTGGGCGATGTCTGAGCGCTGACCGGTATATCAGTCCAGATGTGTTTCGTGTGCTGTTGTATCCACTGTTGTATCCTTTGCTGCTTTTCCTCGTGATAACAGAGCAACGAATTCTCCGCTTCCATACCATTAGCGCCGGAATCCAACTGAGCTTTGGGTCCGTCGACCCATAATTCTTGCGTGAATTTCATAGGCTTTTGATCCTTTTTCCTTCGGCTCCGTTTGGGTCCGTCGACCCACAGTTCGTCGCTTTTCTTCGACTCTTTAAGGGACCGATGAGGCGATGAAACGGGCGTATCGTTGATGATATGTTTCGGACTATCGTTACACCGGAGCTCGTCTTTCGATTCCTCTTTTTGCTGTGCGTTTGTCTGCACTTGAGTTGAATTGTGTGTTGTATTTGTAGATACATTATAATGCAATTTGTTTGTCGTTTGACTCAACTCTGGGCTGTGATTGATGTTTGATTTGCCGCAGAAAATAACGGTATCGACGGAATGCTCGGACGAAGACGTGTAACAGTTTATACCGCTCTCACTCTCAGATGTGTTCATCGATTCGCCACAAACGCCCTTTGAATCTATGGATCGGATCAACAATTTTTCAAATAAACAATTTAATACAAAGAAAAAGTTTTTATTTTTTAAATCAATACTAAATATCAATAAACTCACAAAGAGTTTCTCATTTTTAGGTTTTATGTGGAAAACGCTATTTTCTCACATTTACTCGGTTTAATGTCTTATACGAGTGTCCGAGACTTGTATTAAACTATTTTCACTAATGTTATAGTGAAACTGTTTCTATATTTCACAATTTATATATTTTACTATTAACTAGACAAAAATTTAGTAGACTATCGGTTAGGAATCCACAAAATTTCATCGTTTATGAAATATAAGTAATATAAGTATGTATTTCGTGAGTATAACTAATGATTTATATTCTGCGATAATTTTATTCTCGCAGAATATTGTGCGGCAAATATATCATAAAAGTGTTTCCAGTGTCAGTGGGAGTACAACCATATAGAAAGACACACAGAGATAATGGTCAACAGAGATAATCCCTTTGAATGGCTTTCTATCAGTTTTATTGGTCGAGTCGTGAATGTGTTCATGCATTGCACTAAAAGGATTAAATTGACGAATAATAGCCTATTTTCAACGCTATAACTGTTCGCATGAAAAAAATATTTATATAACTTTATATAAAAAATTTGTTTCTCTAAATTTCCAATTCAGGTCTTCTAACCATTTATCACAACAACAAAGTTATATATAGATATATAAAGTTTTGGTTCGTGACTACAGCATATTCCTATACATTCCTAGCTGTAAATAAAACCATTTTATATTTTAATAATCAGCTTAGATTACAAATGACTTTTTAGGACAATTTTAAATGAGATTTACTTCATTGTATTGTATGTCTAATTAATAATCAACAAAAATATTTAATTACTGTAGTTTAGTATTATTCACAATAATTAGTTTTTTAGAAAAAACTTAATTTATAAAAATCCAGAAATGGATTTATATAAAGTTGTAAACTAATGGCTAATAAAAACTATTTATTTACTATAAACTTGTAAATAAATTTACTCAAAAAAAAAGGATAATAAGCTATAAAAGTAAATCAACCAAAAACGGCATAAAAATAATTTGATTTCCTATTCAAATGGTGGTTTTGTGTGTCGGATGCAATTGTCTATATAAATGATTCGTTAGATATGCAAAAATGATAGAGAAATCAATAGAAGAGAAAAACAGTGAAATACAAAAAAAAAATTGCAAAAAAGTTTTCCTCTCAGATTGAATTCAATTCCAGGCCTTATATAAGTTCTATAATATATTTTATATACAATACAAACATAGATTTGACTTAAGCTTAAGTTGAGTTCATAGTTAAAAATCCTTCTCACGAACTGATTCTCTGATCTCTTTTCCTTCAATTTCTTCTTTTTTGGCTCTTAAAGACTTCTTCGCTAACTTTGGTCTGACTTTTAAATCTATTCGAGACTTCATTTTTATTATAAATCTCGGGATAAAAGCCGCAGTCATTACTACAACACGTCTACAGATGGACTCTATCTTTCGTCTCCCGTGTCCGCCATTCCCTTCACATCTCCATAGAGAGTGTGTTTTCATAAGACTTTTGTTTTATTTTTATAGTTTCCGATAAATAAAATTTCTATATTTTTATTTTTTCTTGTATCCGAATAAATACAATAAAAATAATTTTTTGATTATTTATATACGAAATACTCCGGAACTGTTGTGGAAGTCATGCTCAATAAAACATTGGCTTAAATTTGTGGATAATATTATTCAAATGGCTTTTGCAGTCAACAACAAAAATTTATTTTGGTTTAATAAATCTCATCGATAAGAGTGGGACAGAGAAAAAGCGACAAAAAATAGATTTGAATACGAATTATATGTAAATGTGGTATAATTTGCGCACAAATTCTGTAAAGAATTTAAACTTTTATTTTTGTTTCGTTATTCCTATGAATTCGATCTCTAAATCAAGAGATCAGATGAAATCAAATCATGAGAAAATAAAGAGCATAAGAGGAATGCATTGTATTATAAGTGAGAATTGAGTGCAAAAAACGTAAGAATAAGTCTGAATGAGTGAAATCGGATACAAGTGTTCACACAATAGTGAACTGTTTTTTGTCTCTACTGTACATTACTTATGATATAATAAAGAGAATAAGTCTATAGAGAGTAATGACTGAGAATATTAGCGGAATATAAGTTAATGGACGCAACAAAACAAACGCAAAAAATATTACACACAATAAAGAGTGAAATAATTGAGAAAAACAGTTGTTTTTCTTTCTTATTTCGGTAGACATAGACATACCGGCAAAGCGTTGGCCAAAAGAGTAGTGTTGGGAGAGTTTTCTCATCTTATGTTTGTTGGTGTTGTGAATGAGTCGCGAACGGTGTATACGAGTGACAAATTGACAAATAGATACGGTATCCAAATAATTGGACTCCAAATTGGATATATTGGCCACAACTGATGTCCACACGAGTCGAGAGCCCAGGCATTCTTTCAATACCGACGTTAACTTTGAATCTCTATATTTGTATATAAATAATATGGAAGAAGAGTGAGAAAAATGGAAACGAGATTAACTCATGTGCTCACACTATTAGTTGATCCCTAAGTTTTATGTCAAATAATATATAATACAGTTATGGCTTATAATAGGGGCGCAAGAAATCAATCGTTTACTACAACTAGTTGTAGAACTTCTCTAATATATCGCTACAAGAAATGCTCATTCAATTTGAGTGACAGCTAAATACAAGTTAACATAAATGCTCTGCTATTTCATATTTAGTGTCAGCCCTTAAACACTATATGATAAGTATATAGTGTTTTGTGAATACAGTATATTTGGTATAAATATAGGGATAAATTTTATTTTTGTTGCCCAGTGTTTGATTTGTGTTGAGCCCAAAGCCACTATCATTTATAGTTATATTTGGGGCTAAATTATCGGTTAATAACGAGAAGAAAAATAAATAAATATAAGTTAAATATAAAATAAAAATCAATTTCTGTCATAACTATGAGAAAGACCAGAGAAAGGACTTTAATATACAATAAACACAATTATTATATACAATATACTGTATATCGAGAACTATATTTCAATGAAATTCAATTAACAAAATTGTATAATTCTTAAACAATTGCCGACTATTTCCCTGACTTTGGCTTTTAATAAGAAAAAAGTGGAAAAATTTTGCCAAACTTTTACTTTTAAAACAAATATCTGACGGAAAACTAGAAAAATAAATAAAGTGGCAAAAGATATGTCAACAACGAAATCGATTTTTCACTGCCTTTGCCTCCAAAATAGTTAATTCTTGTGATTCGACAGAATCTATCATCGATTCCATCATTTCCTACGGGGGTCTTATCGCTGGGGTTACTAACCGGGCCTTAATATTGACCATCATCTTAGATGCTATCATCGCTTGGGATTAACGTTTGTTTTTCCTTTTGCTTTTCACTCCCTTTTAACCGAATCAAAGAAACGCTAATTTATTTCTCCTGACATATCCCTCAGTCTCACGACTACCGGACGCTAATGTAAAGCAAAGTTTTGTGTGACTTTGACTTTGACTTACTTGTTAGGCATGTGTTTCTGGCCATTGAATATCGCCAACAAGACGTTCGTCAGGTTCTTCACGGCTGGCGATAAGTCAAACAAGTGAAGCCTCGACCGCCCGCCCACTACTGCAACACCACATTAACAATACATCAATTCAATTATCACCGTTCAATCCAACCTATATTCTGCTCATCACTTCACATGTTTGTCTCTAATTTCATTCAATCAATACATTGAACTACAAATATTGCTTACATTTATATAAATATATATCAATAACACATTTATAACACCATTACTATTATGTGATATCCATTTAATGAATGCATTGCAAACTTTTAACTAGTTTATAAAGTTTGTAATGAAAAGTTATGTTAAATAAATGAGATGCGAAAATAGGATTATTTTAAATATTGCAAAATTTGATTGATTCGCATAAAAGACATTTCACTCAATGCGAGCCTTTAAAGCAATTGTCAATTCATATAATAATGTTCTGTTTTTTATATTGAATTCTCGAGTTTATGGGCCCTTAAAAGACATCTTAAATCGAGTTTATAAGTAGTTTATGACTGGAATTGTAAATTTGAAAATAAATGTGAGCCATAAGAAAATTCATTATAAAAAACGCTTTAATGAAAAAATTGTCGACAAATATATAATATCTATATATTATTTCGTGACTTTAAATTAGAAAAATAAACCCATTTTATCCGATGATTGCATTTTAGAAACACATACTGACAAAGAAAACTAGAATTTTTATTTTTTGTTGATTGAAATATAATTCTTTGCGATAGCCTTTCAGTTGACATTTTCTGATTAAAAATTTATTGCTTAATATTAAAAATTACTGAAATATTATTATCAATAGTATAAAATAAAAATAAAATAATAAAAACTAAAAATATACTATTCTTGATACGTATGGCCAAACACTTTACACACAATTTTGCCATACAATGAACCACTCATTGTATGGCATACTTTAGTTTTATATGAAAACACAGTACAGTAGTGTATAGTGTGTAGCAGTTTATTGAACAGTACTTAATATGTAGACAATGATAAATGATATTCTCTCATGACTTATAGCACAGAATTCTGATTCCGTGTATATATTTTTTCTGTTGTTATAAATTCAATCGATTATATTTTGTTAATATATTCTGGATTTTGCCAATTATTTGGGGGTTTTTCTGTTGTCGGCATTCGCTTCACAGCTAAAAATACCAAAAATATTATTAAAAATTCTGCGAGAGTTCTGTGGATATTAGTGGAGATAATCAGACGAACCGTTTTCGGCAGGAATTACGTGAAAATATGTGCGAATATATTATGAGCTCAGAATCCGAGCTATTCTTCATGCGATAAAATACATGATTAGCAACCAATGGCTCAAAAGTCACGGCTTTAATGAACGCTAAACTTCCTCTCATTAATTAAGCAATCGGTGTATAAATCAAATGTAATTTAATTGATTTGTTTCGTGCAAATAACACACTAACTGTTTTAGTAGACTATTGTATGGCTTTAAATGTTTATATAGATGTCTAATTACAAACCCAATACACACAATAAAATAATATTACATTCAGTAATGATCTGCAAATTATATGTTTTATATTCAATAATTAATATTAAAATAAATTTTTTATTACATTTTGTATCACTATTTCCTGAATATAATTCAATAATATATTTAAAAATAAAACAAAACATTTGAACTAAAAATATGTAATCAAATCTATATAATGCTATATAAGAGGAGAGAAAATGCTACCAAATGTGACGATCATTCATTCAAATGTCGATTTTGTGTCCGAAATTGATACCCATTTTTAGATTTCTTAAGTATTGATACATTATATGCTATTTTCTATGAGTGGAACCACAATATCGCTGACCTATTCTTGTATTTTCATAAGGATTTTATTTTATTTATCATATTTTCCTAAAGGGATTTCACTTTTTGAATTTTTAGCTATATATTTGGTTTTTTAAATCAAAAAATTTTCTTAGAGAGAGAGAGAGAGAGAGAGAGAGAGAGAGAGAGAGAGAGAGAGAGAGAGAGAGAGANNGAGAGAGAGAGAGAGAGAGAGAGAGAGAGAGAGAGAGAGAGAGAGAGAGAGAGAGAGAATTGCTTTTCTTTCAGTTTTATATATTTTCTTACTCTTTGTTATTTGAAGAGCAAAGAAAATGCTGACAAATCATAAGTTATGATAAAAATTCAATGGCAGAGCCCTCACAAAAATTTTTTTGCTTCTTATAATTCTAACACTTTTTTGATTCATTAGTTTTAGTGGCCATACATTGCATATCAATATATAAATATATACAATATATACTTTTAGACTGCTTTTGTCTTCCGATAACTTATGGTTTACTTTAGTTATCATTTCTATCACACAATATATGGTATATATTGTGTATAAGAATCTCTTTATTCTGAGCCAAAGACTATCACTCACATCAAAAATGTTTTCTCAATTCTCATGGCTTTTAATTTACGCACACTATCTCTGAGAGTAACGAAAAATGAAAAATTTAAATTAATACATCCTTTCGTTAATTTTGTTACATTTCTCGCATATAATAGAGTTTAAGAAAATGAATATAAAAAAGAAAGAAAACTTCTTTGCATTGAAAAGTATTTTAAAAATCTAAAGAATTCATTGAAATTGAAATAAAAAATGTAAACTTAATTTTCTCATTTAAAATGATTTACGAGTATTTAATGCCTTAAATGCGAGTTAATTATGAAATATGTCGATAGCATTGTATATCTAGTCTATTGAACGCATTTATAACGCGTTCATTAATAATCGCTTTTATTATTTATGATTATATTTAATATCCATTAAATAAAAGTCAATCAGGAATTCGCTAAATATGTTCGGAAATTGAAGTAATTTTTTCGACTATAAATCAAATGAAAAACATTTGTCATAAATAAAGTGATGGAAAGACAGTATTATAAGAATTCAATGCCCGGAATAGTGAACTCAAAATTGAGTTTATCTTTTTGACTGTTACTTAAAAACAATAAAAACCGATGCCTTGTATTCAATAAACCTTTTGATCCAATATATGATATACCGTATCGTACTTTACAAGCAATCATTGGATTGAGTTTATAGACCAGAGTAGGGATGAGTCTCCAGATCTCATCTGATAAAAGGACACAAATACGAGATAACATATATACATAAGAGATGGACATAAATAAAAACAAATCTAATAATTAGATTACGAGTAATAAAATCCCATAAAGTAATTGGATTTCTCTTTTGACGTTAAATGAATTTTTAAAAACATTTTTGCAACAAAATCCTTATGTGTTTCTTGTATTATATTTTTCTTGTAACAGTGTTTTGAGTGAGATTTCCATAAAACAAACGCTATATGTTTTTTTTACATTAAAATTTAATATTTAAAACAAAACTAAAAACAATATAATTAAAGCAAAAACAGTATGCATTCAAAAAAGTTAAGTAAAGGATTTTAAAAATAGTGTAAAAATCATAAATTATGGCAAAACTGTTTTGTTTGATCTAAATTAATATGAAAACAAAGAGAAAACCAGAGATTATTAAAGTATAAATATTTCATATAATAAAATATTGTGCACTCTTTTGTATCATTATCTCTATTAATAGGCAAATAAATTCTGGCGAAAACATATTATTTTAATGATATTCACATGAGTTTATCAGAATATTCTTCTGAATATCAGAAAAATGGCAATATTTTTCGAAAAACCAAAAATTTAATCCTCTATAACGACATAACAACAGAATTTTATTCAAAAATTTTTGCACAAAACTTTCCTAATGTTTAAAGAGAAAAGAAATGGCGATGAGATTGTGTGTGCAGTGTATGTATGTATGCATACGAGAGCTGTTATGTTTGCATTATATAACATAACATAACAGCATAACAGTCCGCAAAAGTAAAGCCAAAATTTTATACTAAATCTAATGCGATTGAAATTCACGATAGGCTTAGAGTAATAGCGATTGCATTGAAAGTGGCATTAAGTGAATGCTATTGACTAATATATGGCAAATCCACACGCAATCAAATTACCCCAACGTGTGCTGAGCACCAGTACCACCACCGCTGCCACCACTGCCACCACCGCCACCAACAACAACACAGCCAGACATGCATAGCACCGGTGAACACATACACCGATGCCATAAACGCGCAAACTTTTTGCCTAAACTATTCGGCGCTCATATTATGATTGCACGTAAAGACAAGAAGCTTTCAAATAAATAAGTAATAATTCATAACCAGAGCTTTTATATCATACAATATGATATATACCGGTGTGATATGTATACCACCCAAAACATTACTGAACAAATGAGTCCTCTTATTAAAAATACTATCTAATTTATACTCACGTACCCTATTCTCTCTCCCACACTCACCCTCTCTCACTCTCTCTCTCTCTCTCTCTCTCTCTCTCTCTCT